TTCAGACCCAAATACAATCTGCCAACCTTTCTATCACTCAAGATTTTCATATCAAGAATCTTCTTTGCTGCACCAAAATCCTTCATATTAAACTCCTGGCTGAGTTGATACTTCACTTTTCTGACTCTGCTTTATCTTTAGCTGCTATGAGCATATCATCAACATATAATAACAAATATGTAGTCGATCCATTATATTCCTTTCTGAAGTATACATAACTATTATAGTTACATTTGAAGAAATCATGAGTAGTCATGAATGAATCAAACCTCTTATACCACTGCCTCGATGACTGCTTTAGTCCATACAAGGACTTCTTCAACAAGCACACAAGGTCTTCTTTCCTAGAGAATGTGAACCCCTCTAATTTTTACATGTAGATGCTCTCATCAAGTTCTCCATATAAGAATGTTGTCTTGACATCCATCTGCTCAGCTCGAAGTCGTTCTTAGCCACTACTACAACTAAGGTTTGGATGGAACTATACTTCACAACTGGTGAGAATACATCTGTAAAGCTAAAACTTGGAATCTGAATGTAGCCTTTGCACTAATCTAGCCTTGTATCTAGCATCTTCAATCCCTAATGTGCATTCCTTTCTTTTGAACACCTATTTACAGCGAACAACCTTTTTGCCTCTAGGTAATTCTACCAAGTCCCAAGTGTTATTTTTGCTCAATGACTCCATCTTCTCCTACAAAGAATCACTGCAACTGACTGCTTCTGAATATGTAGCAGGCTCTTCAGTGGAATCAACGTCTTTAGTTACACTCAATGCATAAGCTATCGAATTTGCTTCCCCATACTTCTGTGGAGGTCTGATCTGTCTACGAGGTCTATCCTTAACTGTTGAATACTACGGTGTTGGTGGTGTAGGCAAAGTAGGAAAAATATTGCCGTTTGTCAACCCTTAACTGGACTGATCTATAGTAGACTGTTTAACAACCTCTGATTGTTCATTTGAACCAATTTCCAACTCCACCCGAGTTGAATGATTCCGTTCTTCAGTTTTATCAGAATCTCTAAGAGGTGAACCATGAACCATAGCAAGTTCATCACATACTACACCCGTACTAACAAACACCTTTCTTGTCTCAGGGCACCACAATTTATATCCCTTCACATCTGATTTATACCCAAGAAAGATACACTTTCTAGACTTAGGCTCCAACTTTCCATTATCCACATGAGCATAAACATGACAACTACAAATTTTCAAATCAAANCACATGAGCATAAGCCGGACACCCAGAAAATTTTAAATCAGAATAACAAGAAGGTTTACCAGACCATACCTCTTATGGTGTCTTTTTTATCAATGATAGCCGAGGGTGAGATTAATTAGAAAACAAGCTGTAGTAGCAGCTTTAGTTCAAAAAGTCTTAGGCAACCCATAATTTGAAAGCATACAACAAACCTTTTCCATCAAAGTTCTATTCATCTGTTCTGCCACACCATTGTGTTGAGAAGTTCCGGGCACTATCAAGTGTCTCAAGATGCTTTCAGCTCTGCAGAAGCTATTGAATTCATCTGAATAAAACTCCAATCCATTATCTGTACGTAGACTTTTCTCCTGCTTCTCAATATGCTTTTCTACCAATCTTTTCCACTCCTTGAAGGTTCAAAACACATCACTCTTCTGCTTCATGAAGAATACCAAAACTTTACTGGAGAAATCATCAATCACTGTTAACAAGTAATAATGGCCTCCTTTTGATGGTACCTTGGCTGGTCCCCAAAGATTTAAATGGGTATATTCAAGTGTATTCTTGATGTTGTGTCTTCTTTTCGTGAATCTGACTCTCTTCTGTTTCCCAAAGGCACAATGTTCACAAAAAAATATTTTGCTGGTCTTCTACCTATCAAGAAATCCCATTCTACTAAGCTCTGCTATGCCATTTTCACTCATATACCCGACCTGCATATGCCAAAGTTTTGTAATTTCATCATTTGTCAAAGAAGTAGAAACTGCTGCATCCCCAATTACTATGGAACCATACAAAATGTACAATTTTGTAGAGCTTTTATGTTCTTTCATGACAACAAGAGCACCTCGGCTCATCTTCAAAACTCCACTGTTGTGTTTTTTATATCGTAAGTGTACAATATCTTAACAAGTAGTGTAGTAGACATTTGAGTCCAGATATCGTTTCCATGAGGACTATATTGTAGAACTTAATCTAATTTTTTAACTCTTATTTAATAAAAGCAAGTAAATAATTATGATAGTTGTGATTATTTTTTCTAACTA